TTCTGGAGTCTCTTAGAGGTGTTTTCTAGTTTGCTTCTCTGTCCTGAGCAAACAAGTGGTAGAGACAAGTACAAAACGTAGTGAAGTTTAACATTTATTTAAGGTAGGAAAAGAAATGTGCCCTGCAGATTGTGTATAGGCCAAAAAAAAAAGGCGGGGGGGTGGGGAGAAATACACTCTACACTGTGACAGTGCATGACTGGAAGAATACAGGAGCAGAGAGTTCATAGTGACTGTCCGGATTCATCACATCTCAGGCTAAGGCCAGGTCTCGGCTGCCCAAACATGCTTGAGTTCTTGTGAGAGCTAGAAACTGTTCTGAACCTGTGTCTTAGGATTTTATAATGGATATATCATGCCCATCACTTCCCAGCCAGTCTGCCATGCCCTAGTCTCCCCCGTCACTTCCAATCTGTGAGACTTGAGGCCATGAAAGAGTGAGCTCAAACTCTTAGGGGGCATCACTAAATTCTAACTCAGTGGAACTTTTCATAAAAGTTAGCATAGCCTTCTCTTTCTTCTTTTATTCATCATTTCCTCTTCTATGTCTGTTACTTTGATATTAAGACAAATACCTATGGATTTTTTTTTTTTTTTTTTTTTTTTTGGAACTGGGGATTGAACTCAGGTCCTTGTACTTGCCAGGGAAGCGCTTATTCTACTGAGCCATCTCTCCGGCCCTACCTGTGGATCTTGAAGCATCTTTGTTTTCTTGGTGGAAAAATTTTCATCTAAGAACATGTTCTTAAAGGAATTTCACTGCAAGGGTGTCTTCTGCGCCAATGTTTTTACATATATATGACTCTGATTTTGCTGTTTTTACCACATGATTTTTAGCCATCAATGTTAGTTTCATTTGTATTACTACTGTACAGCTTATCAAGTAGAATTAAAGTTTAATGCTATTTGGTGCAACTTCAAGTTAAGCATCAGTTACAGATTGGCAAGAATCCAGGAAAATCCAGCTTCTGTTTCTTTCCACATTTCTGTTACATGAACAAACATCTTTCTAGCTAAAAAAGAAATCTGTTCTTAAAAATAATCACTAAGCCTTTAATAAAATATATTTTTGTATGAATCAAACAGCGATGATTGTTCATTTTAAGCACTTTTCAATTTGAAGTTGATAATTCACTATTGTAGTTAAAGAGTCCTGCAAAAATGGATTTTGTAGTGTGCAAATGAAGATTATGCCTTTTAATTTTGTGTGTGTGTGTGTGTGTGTGTGTGTGTGGCCAGCTCAGCCCACACTGGGGGTGAGGCTGGCATGGCATGTGGTACCAGCGATTGAACCGTGGTCCCTGCTCTCTTGCCTAAGCTTGTCTAAGCAGGCACTTTAGACCACTGGGCTATGTCGCTGGTCCTCTCTGTTTGGTTTCGATACACATATTTATTGATGGCACAAAAGCTTTTAAATACATTCAGTTGAGTCAAGCTGTTTCCTGAAATTTATGGTCCACTTCACAGTCCAATCACAAGTACCATCTAGGACTCTTTCCACTGTTTTATTCCTTTGGGCCCTGAGAGGCAGGCTTGTTTCAACAGGGAAAGGACCTAACATAGGTGAGGGGTAACAAGTGGGAATAAGAAAGGAAACTCTTATCTGAATTTCCAATCAGGGTCTTGCTGGCATAGTTATTTATAGCTCTGTTCTCATGAATGTCACATAATGTTGATTCTCAGGATGGCAGGTTAATGCAAGGGAATTTGCCCATCTGGACCTAGTATAACTTCCTACTATGAGGGACTTTTTTTTCTTACCATCTAAATCATCCCTGGCTTTGTAAAATGTACTATGGCCGAAACACAAAGCTATCCCCATCTGGCAGGGTCCTGACAGAGTCAGCCATTCCCCTGGAGCACACTTTCTGAGTCTTTCACTCATCCATGTGGGGGACTGCTGCTCCTCTCCATATCCATTTATGATCTCTTAAAGGTAGAGGATTGCAAGATGTAAGAAAGTATCTGTTTTTCCTTTTTCTCATCTTTACGTGTGATTAATAATAGCAATCGCTTCATAGGGTTGTTGTAAATTGTAAATGAAATAAAGTATACCTTAATTGAGGATGTATAAATTTTCTGTCCTAGAAAAGAAATGGTAAAAGAAGAAAGGATATGACTGTTCATGAAACATGCATATTTGCAACTGTTTCAATTATATATATCCTGAGCTAGGGATATAGCTTAGCAGCACAGTGTTTGCTGGGCAAGTTCATGGTCCTGAGTTCAATTCCTGGTATGAGCCCCCCACACCCCACCAAAAACATCAGAATATGCCCATAGTCTGAGAACCCAAATCCTGTCTTCAGTCCCTAGCAATCTCTTGGCAAAAGTGCTTGAAACATTTCATAGAGTCTCCCCAAGCAACAGGCAGAATATTGCTAATTTCCTCACTTTTCAAGTGTTGATGAATGATTTGGATATTTGTGCAATTAAGATTTATTTAATCATGCCCAGGATATTTTTGAAGAGGAAAGTCTGAAATATAGCCTACATTGCAGAATGAATATTGAACATTTCCCTGTGTTTTCTCTCTTGTTTGGAGAATAAAACAAGGATATAAATGATAATTATAGTTTTTTTGTTTTGTTTTGTTTTTCTGTATTTTGGGGAAGGATCTACAAGGTCTCACTATTAGATTGGACTCATAGTCATCCACCTGTTTACAGCCTCCCAAGAGTTGGGTTTACAGGGGCACGCCACCACACCCAGTCTCAATTGCTGTGTCAGGGTGCCCTGGGGGCGAGGCCGGCATGGCAGGCCCTGGGAATCAAATCCTTGGTCCCTGCCCCTGCTTGCAGGTACTTTAATCTGCTGAGCTATTTAGCCAGCTCAAATGATGATTATAGTATATGGATACAATCAATATATTCTTTGCCCTATGGTCTTCCATATGTTGCTATAAATGTTATCTGATTAGTAGGCATTAAAGACTGTTTACTAATAGAAGTAAAGTCCTAGAATAAACATTAATTTTCATAGCAATGTGTCATATATAATCCTTGTTTTTTCATTTCCTTATAATCCTAATTTTAGTTTAAGAAATTAAATTTTCTAAACTAAATATACCCTTTGGGCATTAAATCACTGATGATGATGACTTTAAAAAGTAGTAATGAGTTGTTTTATAGGAAAGCCTTTTCACATTTGGATTATTATGGTAAAAGTATTTTGTCTAATGGATTTCCCAGTTTCTCTTTTGATCCTTATCTACTTTATGAATTAGATGTCGGTAAAGATGAATATTAATACTAACTATAGTTGCCACGCTAGACATCTATTGGTTAATCTTGCTTCAAAGTAACTAACTTCTTTGTAATATTAAGTTACTCTAATTTCCTACCTCCATGCCTTTTATTTTCCTCTGGAGGAAACCTTTCAGGGCATGACCTAATGAATTCTGGTTCAGATTTCCGAATGAATCTGAACCAAAGTGATTCTGTAAATTGGTGGAGGGAACCTTCATTAAATACCCTAGTGAGGGGATTTTTACTGTTTCATACCAGACTAAAGTACTTTTCTTGACGTATTGAAATTGAACTTTAACATTTATGAGAATATAAATTGCACTGGCACGTCGTAACATGTCATAGGTCCAGTAGAGCCTTAGGTCAAGGGTTTTTACTTTCTTTAAAACTGCCATTTAAAATAGCAGTGTTTCTAATTATTTTGCCTTTAAAAATTAGAAAAATATGTCCCATTCTCCAGAGAGATTTTTATCTTAAGTTATTCCTATAATTTATATGGTTGCATGGGGTTTGGCTTTATAGTTTTTATTTGGCTTGACAAAAGTGCAAAATTCAGTTTCATAGATATGACTAGTTAGCCTTCTCTTTTAAAACCTGAATGTAATTTTCCAATTGAGAAAGTTAATTTTCTTCATTTTCTTATCCTGATTCCTGACTTCTCAAAAGCTTCCTACCTCAGAGTTTGAGAAGCACTCTACCCCATGCTAAATGCAGCTACTATCTACTGTCAATGTCGCATGAGAGGGATCATGTAGAATCAGAAATTCAAATCAGCATTTTTATACAGCATTTCTTCTGTGCCCTGCAAATGTGGTTACTAGATTCCACTGACCTATAAGAGCTTTTCCCATCATAACTCTTCTCTTTGAAGCTCCTCTTGTGTAGCGTGGAACAATCAAAAATTACCCTGTGTTTTAAAGGCTAAATGCTAGACTTCTACAGCTACCTGCCATTTGATTTCCTTCCACTAGCCTGAACCTAACCTAAGTCTTTGCTGGGAACTGCAAGGATAGACAGTGAACAAATGCATCTGTAAAGCTCAGTGTGTCTTATTTGTGTAAGTGAGCTGTGACACGCCTGAGGGTTGGTTCCGAGCAAGCCAGCCGACTCTGGCTCTTTGAATGCAGCGGAAACTTAAAAATGCACGGCGGCCGGAAAGGCCGGAAGCAACAAGAAACAAAGCAACCCCGGGGCCAACGAAGGAAAGACACTCTCGCGCTTCCTTCTAGACTGAGCCTGACTGCATGTACCCCCATTCCTTCCACTATTTTGGATAGATCCTGGTCCTCCTTTCTTCTGCCACTCAGGAATTGAAATTCCAAAAGTGAACATTCCCTCACCTGAGATTAGCTCGTGTGTCTCACTGGTGGTCAGAGACCAGCAAGAGGGGAAAAACTGGCTGTTTGTTTCTCTTTTCACTACACGAAAATTTAAAAATTGAGGTTTTACTGTGACTATCATGTTGAAATAGCACTGTATTGTATGGGTTAGCCTAGAAAAGGAAATGAACTTGTCCCATTGCTAGTATGTAAGTTTAAAACGGAAGTGCCTACTGAATAGAGTCATGTTGAGACACTTTCTATGCTTTAAACATAATAAATTTATGATAAGCACTCAGGCTCCCATATGGGCAATTTACTATTTAATTGAGGTGCTTACACATTTTTAAAGTCGATATTATTTTGTAGCCTGACTTTATTTACCCATTCTAAAATAGGTGATATATTTATTATTATTCTTATTCTTTAACAGACAAGCTAGCCTCAACGAAGCCGCTGAAAAGTATTACGACCTGGCAGCGAAGCTCAGGCCTAACGTAAGTACTTTCCTAATGAGAAGCATTATTCAGAGGGAAGATCTAAATGCATATAATAGTTTTAAGGTATAGATATGTCATGATACTGTATTTTTTTTTCTCTAACCACTTACTTTAAATTTCCACTACAGTTAATTCAGCAATAATGTTCACCAGTTGCGACCTTCTCCCCCTGCTGTTTTCTACTTCTTAGAAAGCACTGTGAATTTTTAATCATTTGCCTGCCACATTGTAGCATTTAGTATTTAACTTTGCATCCGGGTTGCTTTTCAAATTCCTTGAAAGGGTTTTCTCTTTGTTTTTTGCTATGGTATTAAATACCTATTATTGTTGAGTCTTCACCTCCAGTTAAACCCCAGGCTGTGGGCATCTTTCCTCTTTATACCCATTTCTGATAACTTTCAAGTGTGTTACTGATGTTTTCCTTGTGTGTTTTTGCTGGTAGTCAGACTCATAAAACCAGATGCTGTAAATTAGATCATTATGTTTGAAATGGAATAACTGAGGAAATAAGAACTTTTGTTTCAACCTTTTATGTATTGTATTTGCTGCCCACCCCTGAATTCTAGGGCACTGCTTGGCTTTTCATCCTTTTTTTTTTATTTATTTTTTTTTTGGCGGAACCGGGGATTGAACTCAGGCCCCTGCATTTGCCAGGGAAGCGCTTATTCCACTGAGCCATCTCCCCAGCCCTTCATCCATCTTCTATAGCATCGACCTGTGCTGACATATTTCTTCTGTTTTGCTCTCCAGATCTGAACCATATATTGAGAAATATGATTTTGAAACAGTAATGAAAATGCAGTTGTGAACTGAGCACAACTAATAGGCTGAGTCTCATCTCTTTGTGGTGACTTGCACTGGGCAGACATCTGTACAGTGCCTATTTCCTGAGGGGCTACAGAGATTCCACACCCTAAAAGGCCTGAAAGTAAACATAATCAAGCAACTGAGACACAGTGTGGTAATTCCTATAGAGGCATACACACTCTTCTGGGAAAACAAAAGCAGGATTAGTGCTCTGAAACAGACCTACAGTGGAAGGTGGTTTTTTGTTTTGTAATGTTTTGTCCTGGG